GAAGAGGAAAATGACAAATAATTTAGTTAATTGAATTTGTAATTTTTTAATAAATTTCATGAAATTTGAATTTTTTGCCATAGTAATTTTTTTGCTGAATTTTTTTTTCCGCGATAATTTTTTTGACAAATTTTTTGCTGTAGTAATTTTTTTGCTGAATTTTTTTGCCACAGTATCAATTTTTTTGTCAAATTTTTTACCACAGTATCAATTTTTTTGCTGAATTTTTTGCTGCAGTATCAATTTTTTTGCCGAATTTTTTGTCGCAGTATCAATTTTTTTGCTGAATTTTTTGTCACAGTATCAATTTTTTTGCTGAATTTTTTATCTCAAAATTTTTTTTTGTCACAATATCGCTGGATTTTATGTCGAATTTTTTTTTCATAGAATACTGATATTTTTTTGCTGATTTTTTGCTGATATTTTTAATGCTGAGTGGCAGCAATTGTAAATAATTTGTCAATATTTTTATTATTAATTTTTGCCAAATTCAACAATAATTCAGTAGTTAAATGATATAATTTTGACTAGTGTCTGGAATATTTTGCCATTTCTCAATCATAGACTACTCCAGTTTATCAATATTTAATGATAACTACTTCTCTACTCTATACTTAATAATACTTTATGGATTTTCTATAGGATTGAGGTCCAGACTATTAACCAACCAATTGATATTTTTGAAAAAGCTCTTGTCAAAAAACTTTTTGACAATTTGACTTGTATACTTTGAGTCATTATTCTATTAAAATCACTATTATCTATCATGTATTCTTCTGACTTTTAAATAGTGTTTGCGCAAAATTTCAATATAAAATTCAGTATATATTATATTGTTAAAGTAAAATAATAAAGTTTTGTCTTTAATACAAAATTCTTTAGATTAAAATCTTTTGTTGATTTTTGAAAAGTGGTCTAGTATATTTATAATTTTTATATTATTATTTTATCATATTTCTAAATAAAAAAAATGTTATTTCATCAAAAAACAATATTTATTTCCAATGATCATTAAGATGTTTTTTAATCCACTCAATCCACCTTTCCTTTTAAAGATTTGTGAATATTGAAATATCTACTAAAAAAGTATTTTTATAATCAAGCCCTTTTAATTTCCTTCCTACAATCGAGTATGATATAAACTCTTTGTTCTTGAATAATTTTATAGCCAAGGTTCACAAAGATAATAAATTATTTATATTGATATAAGGACCAAAAACATGTACTTTTACTGATCCAATCTTTTTTGGATGACTATTTTTCTCAGATGTGTAACATTCCCAGTTTTTTTAATTTTTCAGATATTGTATTTAATTGTAGAGTGAAAAATATTGATAAGCTTTTGAAATTCCTTGAGCAAATATATTCTCTGATTTCAAAAATAAAGGATTGTTTGGTGCTAAGAAGTTAATTTAATATTGAACATTTTTTAAAAAAAAAATTTTTTTGTAGTGTATGCAGGAGGCTCTGTACTACCATTTTTATAATTACCGTACAATTTTAATTATTATTTTATTAAAACTTTTTTAAATAAATTTTATAATTTTAAAGGTCAATTTTTTTGATACATACTATATGCTAGATTTGTAATTCTTTGTTGAATTTTTTATCACAATATGCAAATTTGATATTGATTTATTATGAAATTTGATTTGTTGATTTTCTTGTCAATATTTTATATGCCAAATGGCAACAATCAAAAAGGATTTATCAATGTTTTAATCAGTAAATTTAATCAAATCTCGACTGCCGAATGATATAATTTCAACTAGTATATCAATTATGTTTATACAGTACAATATATTTAGTTATAGAATTTCCATCTATATTCAACTGTAAAATATTTACATGTAGTTTGACAGTAAAATGTGAAATTATATATGATTATTTTATCTTCGTAATACTTTATTTAAAACTTTTTTCCACTCGGTGGACATGAGATCCTTTCTATTTATTGATTTTTCATGCCGAATTTATTTGCAACATTTCTTTAGACCATATCAATCCTAATGGATTTTTGCAATTTTTGAAGTTTTGAGTAAATTTGATTTCGAAACTTGCCATAACCGTTTCATTTGTAAAAAAAAAAAAAAAAAAAAAAAAAAAAAAATGAAAATGCAGTTATTTTCCTTGGCCGACATTTCGAATTAACCAAAAGCGATGATTGTTTTGGGGATCTATGATTTTATGGAAATGACATTTCCTAATCTAATTTGCCCATTGACTAATGAATAAATATGATTGTGTGGTTGATATATGAGATCAAACATCTATCGGAATGTAGCGGCAACTGGAATTTCACTAGAATCCTAATGATAGTGTATGTACGAAAAAATTATTAAAAAGCATCATTTGCAAATTACATGTGAAGATCCATATATTACCATATTTTGCTTGGGTTTCTCTCTTGGTTTTTTTGTTCAAGGAATGTTGTTCCTTCAAATCGTTTTCCATGATGCTAGCTTGGTGTGCAAGATATAACAAATTGTGTTTTCTTTTCTGTCCCTTGGACGGTTTTAAATGCTGAAAATAAGATGCAAAAAATGAAGTTAATGCATAAAGAAAAAATTATTAAAATTATAATTAATCAATATAACTTTAATATACCGAATGCCCTGCACCCGATCTACTGGAAGATTTTGATATATCGGCAACTTGAGATTGCCATGCGTCGGCCATCTGATCCGCTGCATTGATCTCTTTAATAATGATTGGCCCTTCGTTCTTGCCTCTTCTTACGCCTAACTGTTGGAACTAAGGAAGAAGAAAAAAATCAATACCTTTCCAACATGATTATTCAGAAATGTCAAGTTTTGTTATTACCGCCTCTTCATCCAGTCCCCAATCGGATTGTATTTGTTCACTCTCATAAAGGGATTGTTGACTTTCATCATAATATGGTTCCTGATATTCAACTCCTCCCTGCCACTGGTCATAAGTGTAACCATCTTCTAACACATATTCACCGGTAGCTGAAAAATTAGTGTCGTTTGTAACCTTTCGACTTTCATGCAAATATGCACTAGATGGCTCGTTTGTACTAGAATTAACTGTCTTTGTTGGAAATGTGTCCACAGTCTCCTTGGATGATAATATGTTTGTGATCTCTTCACCTAATATATACATTTATTTATTCATATTTAAAGAAAAAAAATGAGCCCATTGAAGAGGTAACCAATAATCTTTCTTTAAGCCTAAAAAGTTTACCCAGAGGAAAGAACAATTTTGGGATCGAATCATCCGAATCCCCCGAACCAACAGAGCTGGAAATCTTTTCTTTTGTCGTAGGTTTACGTTTTGTAAGTGTGTGAGGAACAAAACCCGTGATTCCTGTTGGTTTAACCCCGCTAGACGTTTTTGTAGAATTCGCTGTAGAAGAATCCCGTTGCTCCTTTGTTGCTGTCCTCTTTGGCGCCGGCAAAAGATCAAATAAGCCACTACTGGAACTATTTAATTTCAAACTTTTCAGTTTACTTTCTTCCTTTTGTTTCTCCTCATCGTCATCCTGATTAGATTCCGGAAGGTCTACTACGATCCTTACAGGACCTTCTCTCTTGCCCTTTGGCACTGTTTTTGATGGGGAAGGCGCGACATTTTCTGCTTTTTTCGAGTTAGTTTCCTCATCGCCACTCGAAGAATCTGAGCCGTAGTCTGCAACAAGGGATAATGACATGCGTAAAAAAAAATTAGATAAAGAATACACGATCCTAGGCGTATATCGTTTTGGCAAGTCATATGATTCAGGACTGCATAGACTGATACGTGCGTGCGTGCATGAGATTGTACAACCGATCAAGCAAATAAAAAAAACTCGCACAAGTTGTGCAACTGAATCGTTTTATTCCCACCCTTTTTATTCTAAAGATGTCTTTCTTCGACGACCGAAGAGGGGGATACGACGAAAGTAAGAGATGGGATGGTAATGGAAATGGTAGTAACTCTGATAAGTTTGTGGCTAGGCTCTATGTTGGTTAGTATTTTTAAAGTAATGGCCTTTATTATTAAATTATTACACGTAGACATTGACAGTTATGCGTGTCCTCCTAGGGCGACTTTCTAGATCTGTCTCAGAAAACGACATCGACGAAGCTTTTGGGAAGTATGGAAGAATCCGTGAAGTTGACGTAAGTTGAGCGATCTGTGTTTATCAATCTTGGACAATTTACCTCAATTACCTGTCTTTTTACAGATGAAGGTAAGGCATTTTTTTTTTAATTTTACTACACGAAATTTATTTAATAACCTCGAGTATCATATATCGTCTTATAATTACAAATTTTTGATTTTCGAATTCAGATCGGGTTTTGCTTTGTTCAGTTTGACGATCCGAGAGACGCAGATGACGCGATGAGGTGAGGAGCGAAAACTAAGGAGATCGGTGACGCAGCAGTCGGCAGAAAGAGTCACAACTCGGGGCTGTGGCATGCTGTTTTCTGTTGTGTGCAGTTCGAAAATATATATTTATATATATAAGACCAGTCTGCTTGGTGCGAAGAAAGAGGAATTCGCTGGTGACAACGGTGTATCGCCGAGGCAGCAGACTCAAGTTTTAACTCAGTATTAATTCAGGGCTTTAGACGGTGTTCGAATCCCAGGAAATGACGAAAGAATATTAGTGGAATTTGCCAGAGGTAGATCAAAGATGAATATGATTATTGAATTTTGTTTTAGATACAAATTCCAAAAACTTTACTCCTGTTTACATAGGGAGCACTTGGCGTGGTGCTCGAGACAGTAGCAGTCGCGGTGGAGGTCGTAACTATGATGGACGTTTCCCTGAAAGATGTTTTAATTGTGGACAAATTGGTATGATACCTATTGGTCCTTATAAAATTTGCATTTTAAAGTGTGCTAATGTATGTATTATATATTTGTGTCCATGTGTAAACATAAGGTCATTGGTAAGAAGCATATTTTAATTAATTTTGACGAATGCATACATCATTTCTATCTTTAAACGTCGCATCGTTTTATTTGTAGGGCCAGAGATTGGTAAGTCACTATGAAGTTTATGCGAAGTTCAAATTCCCTTGTTCCCTAATGGCAAACAGTACGAGTTTATTCGGTATATAAGCTTACAGCCACCGGGAAGGTAAAAACGAGATGCATGAATTATAAAAGTTAGATGATTAGTTCTTTCGCATATCTCATTGTTCTCTCTTCTTTTTTTATTTTATTTGTTTATTACAACAAAGTGGCGAACGCTCTCGAAGGTAAGAGGGAGAATGAAAGTTTAATAATCTTTATTTCCATATGATGTTCACAAAATTAACGTACTGATTTGTTCCAGATACGAAGAGAATCGTTGCTTGTAAGTCTGCTTCCAGTCAATATTTAATTGTGATCATAATGTTCATGATTTTCTTCAAATTTTTGTAAATAGTACCTGCGGGCAGCCAGGGCATCGCGCCAGAGATTGTGTAAAGTGCGAATTTTGACTTTAAAAGTCCTTTAAATTATCGCTCTTCTATTGCATTTTGTTGTTACTTGTTAACTATTAACCTTGAAAGCTTCGCACATTATGAAAGACATGGATCTAGTACGTCTTATTCCCGCGGGAGATCTCGTTCACCATATCGTTCTAGTCGGGACCGTTCTCCTCGTCGTTATTCTCGCTCACCATATCGATCTTCCGATCGCGGTCGCGATCGAGACAGAGACCGTGATCGAGACCATGATAGAGACCATGATAGGGAACGCGATCATGATAAAGATAAAGACAGGGATCGTGATTACGATAAGGATCGTGAAAAGGATCGCGGTCATTCATCAGAACGACGGTCCGTTTCCCCTAGGACCTCTCGAAGATCGCCTACACCGCATTGATTCTCAATTTCCTCTATTTCGTGTCAATTTATTTTTTTTTTTCCATCATTGCGTGACAAAGTTTTTTTTTTATGGGTATATCAATTTTGATAGGTAAATGTATTTGCATGGTCCACCACATGTCTCTACTGAATTCGTAATGTTTAATTGTCTTATATTCAACTATAAACATACATTTAAAATTTTTAAAAATTTATTAAGTATTCGATATCCTGAAAACTCTGATTGCAAACGGAAAAATCATTTTCTTAAAGTTTAATAAAACTTGACTTGTCCGAAAAACGCCTTGTGATAGGCGAGTCATGAACTAGTCATTCTCATGCAGGTTAAAATTCGAAAATATACAGTAATTCAAGTTACTGTATATTTAACTCCGATGTCGCGATAATATACAGTATAATATACACGTGATTGTGAATCGAGTTGACATATGACGCTACGTCCGAGTTTTCAGGCGCATGTAAAAATTTTCTTTAAAGAAAAATGTGATTTTGAACTTAGGTTTTGTTGGCCAATGAACCACCACAAGCGACCACCAAAACCACATTTCAAGTAAGCGCCCAGGAGTCTCTTTATCTCGTAAAATTCTTTGGAATAATAACTTTTCGACACATTTATCTACAGTTCTCTTCTGTTACCCCTCGGAAATGCTGGGAATTATTTGCTAGTTTTAATTAACTGGTGCAAATTATGATCTTCGAAGAATATGTTCATTTTTATTAAGATCGATTTGGCTTCTCATGCATTAGACAAAAATGGACGTCTTTTGCTAGTGCACAGCGTGATGTTCAACTTTATAATGATAAGGATGATATGTGGCCATGTCAATTATTCAGAAGCTGAAAATATGGCATTGAAACGATCTAAAAAAAAAATTTACCCATAAATGTTATTCCCGAAAATTATGCCTATCATTTGTCTTGCCATAAGATATTGCTTTGGTGTGCGAATTGAAAAAGATGGACAAAAGGAATTCAAGAATCGTCAAAAATCGGCTGAGATGGATGAAGCAAAGCTCCCGGGCCATTGTTATTGTGAAGGAATTGAGTTGAAAAGGAAGAAAACAAGACATTTGAATATTTCTAAAAATCAGCCGAGATTCAAGTTGACTGTTGTTATTATGAAGGAATTGGTATTAAAAGGGATAAGGCATTGAATATTATCAAAAGTTAGCCGAGTTATGTTATTCGAAGGGGCATTTAATGCCGGATATTGCTGCCTCAATGGAATTAGAGTTAAAGAAGAGGAACATAATGCATTCAAATATTTCCAAAAATCAGTTGATATGGGTGATGCTGGTGGAATATATCAAGTCGGCATTGTTATCAGAATGGAATCGGAGTTGAACGGGATGAGCGTATGGCATTCAAATATTATTAGAAATATGTTAATATGGACTACGCGGAAGGAATTTTTAATGTTGGCTATTGTTATGATGAAGGAGTTGGAGTCAAGAAGGATGAACGTAAGTCATTCGAATATTATGAAAAATCATCTAATATGGGTAATTCAAATGGCTCGTATAATGTTGGTTATTGTTATGAGAAAGGAATTGGAGTTGAAAAATATGAGCGAGAGGTATTCGATATTATAAAAAATCACCCGAGATGTGAGACCCCGAGGGTTCACTTAACGTTGGCTATCGTTATCATAATGGAATTGGAGTTGAGAAGTATTAATGTAAGGCATTCGAATATTACCAAAAACCGCTGATATGGGTGTTTCCGAGGGTTTACTTGATGTTGATTATTGCTACCATAATGGGATTAGAGTTAAAAAGGATAAATACAAGGCATTCGAACATTATCTAAAATTAGTCGAGATGGCGATACAAAAAGAATTTTTAATGCAGCCTGTTGCTTGATGAGGGAGTTAGATTCGAAAAAGATTATAAAAAATCAGCTAAGATGGGTGATGTTAGTGAAATGCATCAAGTTGGCTATTGCTATAAAATGAAATTAGGGTTGAAAAGGATAAACATAAATAAGGCTTTCGAATATTATCATGAATTAGCTAAGATGGAGCTTGCAATAGAAACGAATGATATTGAATATTATTGTGATAAAGGAATTGAAGTCAAAAGGATGACTATAAGGCAAACAAATTTTATAATTAATCTACTAATATAGATAATATAGAAATTACAGTATAATGTTACAAATCACCATTTTATGATAATTGATATAGGCTTTTTTTATAATTTACTTTTCAATTTTTTTTTCAATATTATTTTCTTTCAAAAGTCTTAATTTCTTTATACCTTAAGTTCTTCAATAAAAATTTATAAGGCTGTTAAAACCTTTATTATTAGTAATAATTTATGTTATTATGATGTTATGTGGATAATAACTTTAAAGATTTAGTAGATACTTTTGATAATTATAGATAATTCAAAATAATGTCATGATATCTTGTACAAAACTATTATAATTATTTATAAAATTATTATATATTCAAATAATAATAATAATAATAATAATAATAATAAATAATAATATTAAATATTTTAAAATAGTAAATTTTTTAAAAAAATAAATATTTTTAAAATACTATAATTTTAAATATTATTTTGAACTTAAAGTATATAAATAATTAATTTAAAATATAGTATAAATAGTTAAATTTATTTATAACAAAATATAGATTTTTTTTAAAAACTCTTTGTTAGACTAGATATGTGTGCTTTATTAAATATATGTATACTTTATATTGAAAAATATATTGTTAAATCTAAGTCTCTACCTAATTCACTCATCTCTATTTTAAGAATTATTAAAACTTTAAATATAACTTTGAGAATAATTTGTCACTCTGTTGGTAATTCAGGTAAAGACCCTTTCAACTGTTAATTTTATTGCCTGCAAGTCACTACTATAAATTACTCTATAAGGTTCTAATAGAACTTAAAATCCAATCATTTCATTTCATACTTCACTTTTCTTGTTAAAATTTTTTAAAGATTTTCATCTTCAAGGTTTCCTTCTTCAGATAGTGGATCTTTTTCTTCAGGAGTATAGTTTTTTGGTATAAAAAATATAGAGATCTTTTTATCTTATTCTCTCTATTAATTCCTTGTGTTTATTTTCATTCAATTATTTTTTTGTATCTCTTGTTCCCGACTTTTTTTTAGACTTGATTACAAATTCTTTTTTGTATTTTTATTATTTACTTTTTTGCTATTCTTTCTATACATTTACCTTAGTATTTTAGGTCTACTATTTCTAGGATAATATCAGTTCTTATAAAGCCAATATAGAAACTTGACATATTTTGACTAATTTTAAAAGCTTGTTTCACTACTTTAAAGATCTATTTATCAAACTCTTCTATTTCTTCTCAATTATTAATTATTAATCTATAATTTTTCTCTTCAACCTCTCTTTTTTTTTTCTATAATAACTTTTTAAAGTTTCTAATAATTTCATCTACTCTTTTATTTTATGCCTCTTATAGCTAGTCCTTATAGACTAAACATTTTAGCAAGTATTCTATAGTTTCATCTTGTTGGTTATATGCAATACATTTTACTTACTTGTATAGATCCAGTCTTATTATAGTCAACCTACTTAGAGTAGGTAGTTAATCATTGGCTAGTTTAATAAGATAGTTTTTTTGTTGAAATTGTTTAAAGGATATATTTTATATATATCTACCTTTAATTTTTTTCTATACTAGGTTCCATATATGAGTCTGATGTTCTGAGATCTGATAATTTCATTTTTTCTCTATTTTGTTTTGATATGTCTATTGATAGGCTATTGTTTTATTATTAATATTCTTAATGAACTATCTAATTGGATCATCTAAGATTGTTTTTTACCACTTGATTTTAGTAATAATCTTGTATAAGATGAGATCTTTCCATTCAATTAGTAAAAATTTTAGAGTTTTCTTTGCTAAGGTATTTATTTTTCATTGTAAGAATTATTTGAATGTGTCTTAACTTTATAAGCTTTAAATCTATATTCTTCTTTTTTATTAGTTCTACCATACATATTCAGAAATAAAGATGGGTCCTTAAAGATGAAAGAAGAGACAAAAGTCAAATGTCTCTCATAGATATGCAAGCCATATGGGAAGGTAAAAAGAAAACTTTAACAAGAAAAAACCTAACAAGTAGTAGTAAAATAGACTATATTTGGATTTCTTTTAGTCTAACAAATTATTCACTACTCTGATTTGATAATCAAAACATAGAAAATGTTATGGAAAGTAATCATACCATGCTTCTAATAACACTACACGATAAATATCTTTTCACAAGAAGCAGAATCCCAAAACTCTCTACAAATATATCAAGAAGAATTGATATAAAGGAAATATCTCCATTACAATAGCAAGCCTTCAGAAAAGTATAGTTCACAAATTTAAAATGTCATTAGAATCTTTGCTTCAAGAAGAATCCAATTAAGATAAAAAGGAGAATCAGACAAACAAACTGTGAGAAACTTTTGAGAAACTACTATATAAAGCAGTTTTTAACAAACTGACAACAAAGAAAACAATCTAGTCAGAAGAAAAATATTACAAACATAGTACCAAATTCATCAGCTATAGAAAAGTACTACAACTTAAAGGACTTTACAACAAAGCAAAAATATCAAAAGAAATAGATAAGCTGCAGGTTCTTAGCTTAGTTATAGAAAAATATAATAGTATCTATAGTTCAAATTATTAAATCAAAAACTATTGTACCTAGTATAGTATCTTTAATATGCCATAGAAATCCTTGAAAAAAGATATCCAAGATACTATAAAAGGTCTCAAATTCATATGTCAAAGATTGGAAGCCAAAAAAACAAGAAATAATATTAAAACTGCATTGGAACAGAAATGTGATGATTTGAGAAACAATCAGAGACAGATGATCAGCTCTCTAACCAATCAATCAAAAAGCAAAATAGTAATAGATAGAGTTAAAATTAAACAGAGAAATAATAAATACATTACAATACAAAAAGATGAAATGGAAAAGAAAATAAAATGGTATTACCATGAAGTCTTCAGAAAAAGAAATACTATCTACAACGGTTTACCAGAAGAATGAAAAAAAGAGTACAAATCAAGAGAATATATTCAAACAACTTGGTATGACAAACTACTCAAATCAATTTCATAAGAAGAACTAAGTGAAACACTGAGGACACTTTCCAACAACAAAGCTCCAGGAAAATATCAAATCAGTTATGAAATACTGAAAAGATTAAGCCAAGAGAAAAAAGATTTCTTGAGAAGAATGTTAAACAACTTCTTAAGATGGAAAGTTACTCTGAAACATTGGAAATAGAGTCATATATTTCCTATAGCTAAACCTAAACCTTGGGATTGTGAACTCTTAAATACTAGATCTATTATCTTACTAGAAGTTATAAGAAAGTGTTTCATCAAAATTCTTACCAATAGAATGTAGAATATTTGTAAAATCAATAATATTCTCAAAGGACTGAACTATGTAGAGCTGCCAGAAAAAAGTATAGCAGAACCAATTCAAATTCTCAACAACATCTATAAAGATACTAGAGAAAACAAAAAGGAACTGAGGATACTTTTTCAAGATATTACAAAAGCATATGATACAATCAGTCTAGATATATATGCTGGTAAAAACAATAAAAAAAATTAAAGCTTCAAAAGGTTTTATAAAAATCATAATGAAACTCTTTAAAAATAGAGAATTTTATATTATATTTGAAAAGGATCTTATAGAATCAATAGTAGCTAGAGATGGAATCAATCAAGGGAAAACTATTTCATCTCTACTTTGGAAAATTTTTTATAATCTTTTTCTTTGCAAAATCCAAAATGATACACAAAGAGGGTCAAAATATTAGTTATATGAAACCCTAATCTAAAAAAACAGATTATAAGAAAGCTAGAATCAAGACATGCAGCTATAGCCTTTATGGATAATACAATATGGATAGTAA